GTTTTTAGTTAAATTGAAGATTCAATATATTGTGATTGATGTGTTTTTGACTATTCTTAAAATCCTATTACAGGAAGGAATAGCCTCAAATATATGCATGAATTGATTATTTATTCTAGTAGCTTTCTATCCTAGGAATGAGGCTATTTCCACAAGTACTGGGATTCTAAGAATACATGGTAGTCAATTGGTGGGTTGCATGTGACGTCATACTCAAGCAAAAAATATCGAAAAATCCAAGAAATTTTTTCTAAAGAGCTTTTCTTACAGAATATCTTAAATATACATCTAAATAGTGTGTATGCAAATTTTCATACGAATTCAACGCTTTGGTGGCGAAAGACAAAAGTTTTAGTTTGTGCGGAGTTTAATTTATTCTACCGTAGATGGTAAATAAAAACTTCGAGATTAGATAAATCATTCTTTCAACTCTGTAAGAACTTACTTAAGGTAATTTTTCTTTGAAATAAAGTCATAATTGACCAAAATTTACAAAGGAAAACAGTTTTTAAAGTTAATTTGAAATCAGACGCCATCTTGGATGATCAAAGTTATCATCCAAGATGGCGTCCCCATACATATTAACCAAATTTTTCAAATCTTTATTCGCTTATATCTTCATCGAAAAGTAAGCTACAGGACTAAAAGGTTGTATTCTAGATAATTTGAGTATGCTCTTTGTGACTTGCTACTTGGTTTTTGAAAATAACGAATAATAACGAMTGATAAATTTTCAMTTCGGGGGTTGCAACCCAAGAATTTGGAGATAAAAAAAAATCATTCACTTTATAATGAAAGAAAAGCAGACAGAGAGTGTACACAACACATAATCCAAATATTTTCATTTTTGCATAACTATGTCATAAAAATAAATCACAATAACATTAATCCAATGAGTTCATCAGAATTGCTTGTGAAGCAAGGACTGGGTTAAGTTACTCCTTTATTTGTAGTTTCCTCCTTGTCTGCAAATCCATTTGTTATGSCTTGAGTGAAGGATTGCAAATTAAAGACAGTTTACMTACCTGTGATACTCCAATGCCTACTTCTTTCTCTTTGAGACCAGGTGCCGATACATGGAATAGCTTCAAGGCTCCTGGAGGCAACTAAA